AGACGATTTGTTATACAGTAAGTACAGTTGTATGCAGTAAAATCCTAGAGGCTACTGTCCCTTTAATTGATACAGGTACAGGTGCTATCGCTATCACTCATTATACTTACTGCAGTACGAGTTGGAAAGACGCAATCAAACATGTCACATCCAAGTGCACAGCACACCACGAGATCGACAGAGAACCTAAGATTAAGAGAAGTTAACAGTAAATTACATTTGTATTGATTGAAATCTCTGGTATTGATTTCTCACTCAACTTCATGAACATAGCAAATTACTCAGCAAAGGTTTCCATGGAAACTATCAATAACACGAGTGACTCGAGTTGCCTTGAATAGACTATGTAATTACCTTACAGCATAGTGCAAACCTACTGAGTCGTTTGTACTATTGTACTCACCCAACACCCATAAGGTATACGGGCTTGTTCTTTGGCAGGTAGTCAGTGGAAAGGGTTACCATCTTCCAGAAGTGTTTCTTTTCTTCCCCGCCACTAAGACCGCCAATGGCAAAGCCGGGAACATCCCTCTTTATCATCTCTAATAAGTTGTAAAACAATTTCCTTCTTCCAATATTACAAGTCATTATACTGCCAATTACAAAATAGTCAACATGTAATTGTGTTCATTAACTATAGCATTGCAGAAATGTTGTAGCTCAATTTATCATCAAAGAAACTAATTCTGTTTCTGTTACAGATTAAACAATACATTTCAGGGGCGTAAATCCGTACCGAGGAGTGGGGGGATGATCGCCGATAGCCGGGGGCGAAATTAACCTTGGCTGCTGCAGGCAGGCCCGCGTGCCATAGGCATGCCAGTGCTAGGGGGGTTTGGGGGCATTCCCCCCATGAAAATTTTGAAATATTTAAGCCTATAATTTTCCTGCAATCTGAGGCATACTGTGGGCCATATTCTCATGTCTGATGACACTATCTCAACCCTAGACTCAACCCTACAGGGGCGTATACAGGATTTGTACCATGGGGGGGGGGGTCTAACCGTAACCCAAACTTGCGAGCACGCGAAGGGGGAGTCTGGGGGGCTCTCCCCCAGAAATTTTTTGAAATTAGACCCCCTTAGATACGTTTTCTGCGCGAGCAGGTGGGGTCCGGACCCCCTGGACCCCCCCCCCCTGTACACGCCTCTGCCCTACAAGTTAGGATTCAAAACACTTTTCATGACTTTTCAGAGAGCGTACACAGTTAGGTTACTATAGTAATAATACATACACGTATTAAAACAGGTAAGAATTGCAATTTCTCACAATATCACGTGTTTTTGTATGTTTGCAACCATACCTTTTGGCTATTCTTTTTCTTCTTCTTTTTTTGAATCTCAGGGGGGATATTTGTACAGGCCATCCCCCCCTCCTTCAAGAGCGGGGGGGATGCATCCCCCTCCCCCTCCCCGGGATTTACGCCCCTGATACATTTACATTATTTTAGGTTCGTACAGAATTCTCAGTGCATTTTATGAAAAACTCATATTGGTTACCTTTTATACATGATGTGCGAAGTTTTGTATCTAAGCCACCCTGCACTATCGCAAACAAATTTTGTTGGTCTGTCTTTTTATGTGCTGCTATGCATCTATCCAGCCACCTTATGGATCTTAGATATTAAAGTAGACAGGCTAATAAATGTAGTAGTTAATTCAAAATTACTAATGGAAAAATGTTTATTTTTTAGACCCTATATCAATGACTTGCACTTCGTTTAATTTATGACTGTATAGACAAACAATCAAATGTTAAAAAAACCATGAAATCCTTTTATTTCAGATTGTTCAAGCTACAATGAATTCCAGAAAAGTAATCAATGTTGTGTTCTCCAATATAATAGTTAAAGTAACAAAATTTACAGGTTACAGTTTTCATGCAGTGCATTTACCTCCACATTGCTTCTTCAACTCTTGGACCAGATATAGTACTGGAAACAACATCGTCCAATTGCATGATGATGTCTGCTCCTATTCATTATAAAAAGGTAAACATGTACATATAATAAATAATATATCATAGCACCAATATACACCCAAGAGACTTACTACATCTTCCATGCACCCTCTTGGGTCTGATTCGGAGCCTTGAGAATGAGAAACAATAGGTGATAAACATAGAAAGGACTTTGACTGTGAGAGTAGGCCTATATGTGACCCGCTCCAGCATATTACCAGGAGTAGATAATAGGGAATTCCCTATAATCTACTCCTGATAATACGGACTAAGTCGCAAGTCATTGTTTTGAGTAATGCACGCACACATGTCAATGCTGAAAATGGCCTACCTGCACAAAAATGAGATTTTTACAAAAATAAGTTCCTAAGTGCATATTTAATCCGGATATATAGGTTCAGATATCTCTAGATTATTATGGTCATTTTTAATTTAAAAAAAAAATCTTTTTTTTTCTTCGCCCTTCAGACCGCTTATCCCCGACTGGGCCCCTT